TAATCCCATAACTCGGTGAGTTCAAGGCCAGTATGTCTACAGAGAGTTCCAGGACAGCCAAGGGTACACAGAGCAACCCTGTCTCAAAAATAAAAGTAATAATTAAAAAAACACCAAAAAGTGATCCTCTGATATGTATATCAAGTTTCTTCTTTAAAAGAAAATTTTATGTGTATAGGTGTTTTGCCTGCATGTATGTCTGTATGGGCCGGTGGGGGCCAAAAGAGGGTGTTGAATGCTGCGGAACTGGAGATATAGGCATTTATGAGCCATCACATGAGTACTAAAGAGCAGCCAGCATTCTTGACCACTGGGCCATCAAGATGCTTCTTCTTTTTTTAATCATAGAATGTCAATTCAGAAAAATGATATTAAGAACAATTCAATACTTAAGAAAAATGTAGAAAACCAATCATTAATTTTCTCTCAGGGTGTTAAATTTACCTTATAATTTTCATAGCCTTTTTATTTTTTAATGTAGTTATAACCATATTAATTTAAAAATAATTTTAAAACATATTTAAATCTTAAATATTACAATAACATCATAAATTCTAAGCTATTCTGCCCTGGATGCTTTAGTCTACCTTTGATGCCTCGCAAGCACTAATAAGACATGAATGCTTTTTCTAACAACAATGAAAAACATTTTAAGGTGCCTGTTAAGAGAACCTAAATTTGGCATGAAAACAAAAACTATTCATGTACTTTACCTGTGTAATAACCATTAGGTATCTAAGATATGATGTTTTCTTACTTTGGATACAGCCTCCTGACCTTTTTTTAAAAATTACCTTATTAAAATTGTTTCCTAGGGGCTGAAGAGATGGCTCAGAGGTTAAGACCACTGGCTGCTCTTCCAGAAGGTTCTAAGTTCAATTCCCAGTAACCATATGGTGGCTCACAACCATCTATAATGAGATCTGGTGCCCTCTTCTGGCCTGTAGGCATATATGCAGGCAGAACACTGCATACATAATAAATAAATAAATCTTTAAAGTTTCTTCTTTACAAGAGAAATGTTGAAGATACTACGAGATTTTATAAGATGATTTTGGAGCAAAGGATAAAGAAATAAGCTTAGGGTGGAAGCAGAAGCAGACACCCACAGCTAAACACTCAACTGAGCTGGAATCCAGTTGCTGAGAAGGAGGACTGACGAGCAAAGGAGTCCAGACCAGGCTGGTGAAACCCACAGAAACAGCTGACCTGAACAAGTGGGAGCTTTTGGCCCCCAGACTGATCACTGGGAAACCAGAATGGAACTGATCCAGACCCCATGAACGTGGGTGTCAGTGAGGAGGCCTCGGAAATCTATGTGGCCTCTTGTAGTAGATAAGTACTTATCCCTAGCATAGGTGTGAACTTTGGGAGCCCATTCCATATAGAGGGATACTCCCTGAGCCAAGACACATGGGAAAGGGCCCCAAAAATATGACAGACTCTGAAGACACCCCAATGGAAGACCTCACTCTCCCTGGGGAGCAGAAATGATATGGAATGGGTAGGGTGTTAGTTGGGGGTAAGGGAGGAGAGGAGGGAGAGGGAACTGGGATTGACATGTACAACAACTTTGTTTCTAATTTAAATTTAAAAAATGGAGGGAAACAAAGGACAATACTTAAATATAAATAAATAAATAAATAAGCAAGCAAGCTTAGGGCTAGAGAGATGGCTCAGTGGTTAAGAGCACTGGCTGATCTTCCAGAGGACCTGAGTTCAATTCCCAGCAACCACATGGTGGTTCACAACCATCTGTAATGAGTCCAGCTCCCTCTTCTGGCCTGAATGCAGACAGAAAATGGTATACATAATAAATAAGTTTGAAAAAAGAAATAAGCTTAAGAATTCCATATAGCTCTAAATTTGCATAAATGTTTTTTAATTTTGTGTGTGCATGTTGTGTGTATTTTAGGAGCATGTACATCACATAGCTTTACTAGAGGTCAAAGGACAATTTGGTTGTGGGATCTTCTTTCACCTTTATGTTAATTTCAGAGATCAAACTAAAGTTGTAGGGCTTGTGTGGCAAGTGCTTTAACCTACTCTATTCCATCTCACTGGCTGCTAAATTTGGACAGATTTTACAAGAGCTCTTCAAATTTTTCTTCAAACTAATTTTGATTGCAATTACATAGCATTATAATAAATAGCATATATAAGGTTGTAGCATGAATAATAAAAACCCAGAGACAGGGGCTGGAGAGATGGCTTAGCGGTTAAGGGCATTGGCTGCTCTTCCAGAGGACCTGGGTTCAATTTCCAGCACCCACATGGCAGCTCACAACTGTCTGTAACTAGAAATACATGCAGGCAAAACACCAATGTACAAAAAATTAAAGAAATATAAAAAAACAACAAAACCCAGAGACAAATATTGGGATTCAAACTGAAGATCAAATAAGCAAAGCAGCCGAGCCACTAGAGAGTTCTTACCTCTACCAAGGCTTAGACTAAAGGGGGTGAGCCTGTCCTCAGTGTGACTGCAGACTGCAATGCTCTCCACCAAACTTCAGACTGCACTAAGCTCCTCCCTCTAGAGCTGGGATCAAAGGTGTGAGCTCTGTTTCTCTTAGACTGTTTCATTTCACTCTCATGTAGCCCTGGGTGACCTTGAATTCACAGAGATCCATCTGCTTCTGTCTCCCAAGCACAGGAATTAATGGTGTGGCCATCACTGCCTGTCCTCTATGGCTAGCTAACCAGTGGCTTAGGTGTGTGGCTAACAAGTAGCTTAGCTCTTAACTAGTAATTAGTGACTTAGCTCTGTACTCTGATCTTCAGGCAAGCTTTGTTATATTACAAACAAAATATCATTACATAGTATCACAAATATTTTAAAAGCACAAAACCTAAAAGAAACAAGTTAGTTAGGATGATAGTGTAATGTAATGCCAGCATTGAGGAAACTGAAGTGGAGAATTGTGAGTTCAAGGCTAGCTTGGGCTACAGAGTAAAATCCTATCTCCTATCTCAAAAAAAAAAAAAAAGAGGAAAGAAAGAAAGAAAAGAAAAGAAAAGAAAAGAAAGAAAGAAAGAAAGAAAGAAAGAAAGAAAGAAAGAAAGAAAGAAAGGGAAGTGGTTTAGGAAGGAAAGAAAAAAGTAAGTTGACCCTTTTAAATTTTATAAAATGTCGAATGGAAATTATTTTAATGCGATGCCCCACCCCTTTTTCAGTACAGGTGACTGAGTCTAGAGCCCTGTCTCTGTTAGGCACTCTATCACTAGCCTGACTTTTGAATTATGCTGGGAAATAACACAAATTGATAACATTCAGAAATTTTGAGTAGTAGTTGATATCACCCAAAACTAAAGTATCATTTGGCCATCAGTATAGATAGTAATATAAGCAATCTATGTGTTTAACTGCCAGTATCATCTACCAGAATGAAAGTAACTAGTTGTCGGGAGGTGGTGGCACACGCCTTTGATCTCTGTGAGGTCAAGGCCAGACTGGTCTACAGAGTAAGCTCTAGGACAGCCAAGGCTACACAGAGAAGCCCTGTCTTGAAAAACCAAAAACAACAACATCAAAAACCCCTAGTCTTCACATATGAATATTGGGAGATTTATAAATGATACATAGGTAGACATAATTCTGGTTGGTAAAAGCATGCTTCTTTTGTGCTGTTTTATTTATTCATTTTGATATAGCACTATATAGCCCAGGCTGGTCCAGAACACATGATCCTCTCGATCGGTGGGATTAGAGGTATGTCCCACCATGCTAGCTTAGTCTTGTAGGCTTTCTTTTCTTTTAAAACTTAACAACAAAAAAGTCTGTCTATGTGGGCACACGTGTTCTGTGTTTGTGGTGGTGGTGGGGGGTGTATGCATATGTGTACAGAGGCCAGATGTCAACTTGCAGGTCTTTATTCAGGCATAACCACCTTGTTTTTTGATACCAGGGTGTCTCATCGGCCTGGAGCTTGTAATCAGGCTAGCTTGTAATACTGGCTGGCCAGTAGCCCCAAGTCTCCACCTGTTTTTGCATTCCCAGGGTGAGAATACAAGCAAATACCACCCTGCATAGCATTTTCATCTGGGTTCTGTGGATCAAATTTAAATCCTCATTCTTGTGTGACAAACACTTTACTAAGTATGCTATTTTACCAGCGGGGTAGGCTTCCTTTCGGTATGGACTTTCTAAGGTCCTCACATTTGCTAGCCAAGGGCTCTACCAATGAGCTACAACCTTAGCTTGGTTCTTGACATGAACTGTAAGTAGGTGAATAAAATTAGTTCTATTCACCTCATCCCCCCATATGTATTATCGAAATCATATTATTGCTTAATCTTTCAATGTCGTTTCAATTACAGGCTTTATAAATAGGGCTATAAGTTAATCTCATAAAAATAAAGATTCAAGCATGGCATTTACTTACTACTTCCAAGCTTGTAAATTAAAAACAAGCTTTCCACGAGACTTGACACTTCACAATTCTTCTTGGAAAATGAAAGATCATAAAAACAGAAGGTCAGGCTGGCAAAGTGACCCAATGGGTAAAGGTGCTAAATCTTGCAAACCTACAGACAAGGCCTCCCAAGCTGTTTACAACTTAAAGACTAACAGCTGTCGGCAACTTGTCGGGATTCCCTGTCAATTTACTGTGCTGTGTGGCTCTGACCCAGTCTTTCTGGGTTCCACATTTCTAAGCGACGCAATCGAGACCTACTTCAAAAACAACAACAACGTGACACTTAAGTAAATCACGCACCCTCAGTGCTCACTAGATTGTTAAGAGACGCGCCCCGCGCCCCCTGCCCAGGCTAGCTTCATACGCAACCCGCCACACCTGGAAAAAAAGAGAGCAGGGCGGCCAATCTGTGCAGAGCGGACGTCGCAATCCTGGTGAGGATACCCACGCCTTCACACAGCAAAGACTGGCGCAATGTCACAGAAAGCTTAGTTTTGTCTGGAGGAGAGTGCGTGACACCGCCCAGTCACTTCCGGTTCCGTAAGGTTCCTACCCTCAGCCTGCACTTTCAACAAAACCCTGGGTTGTGATATTTCCCTCCGGCACCTTTACACTTCCTTCTCTCTTTGTTTTTAACCCTTGTTGAATACCAACAGCAAGGCGCGTGAACGTCCACACGGGCGGCTATGACAAGAACGAGCGGGTAGTGGGACCTGGCGAAAGTGCGTGTCGGAAACACCGTGCGCTTTCTTCTCCCACCGCGACTTCTACGGGCCGCAGGCCGGAAGTTCCCGTTCTGAATGGGTCTTGAGCCGGTGGCCGTCTGTCCTCTATGTGGGCTTAACACCGGGCGACTCTTGATCTCGGATCAAGCCGACCGCTAGGTTCATGTGGAGGCTCCTAGGTCGCGTCGCGCTTCGTGGGGTCCGGTCGGTGGTGGAGCGGTGCAGCCGGGCCGAGGCAGCGACTGACGAGGCGGTGCGCGCCATGGAGCGCGCTGTGGTGCGCTGTGTGCCCTCGGAGCCCAAGCTCAGCCTGTCCTTTGCGTTGGCCGACGGCAGCCACACAAACATGCAGCGTGACCAGAGCGAGCCTCTGGGCCGGGCCCTCAGCCGGATCGCTACCAACGCTCTTAAGGGCCACGCGAAGGTAGCGGCTGCCAAGAAGAACAGGAAGAACCGAGCCCACTCGAGCGGCGGCGCGGCCTGCGCGGCGGCGGGGCCTGAAGCGGGGGGCGAGCCGGTGGTGAAGCTGTACTACCGAGAGGAGGCCGTGGCCGAGGATGTGCTCAACGTGGATGCCTGGCAGGACGGCGCGGTGCTGCAGATCGGCGATGTCAAGTACAAAGTAGAGCGCAACCCGCCCGCCTTCACGGAGCTGCAGTTGCCGCGCTACATCATGGCTGGCTTCCCGGTGTGCCCTAAACTCAGTCTGGAATTTGGGGATTCCGCCAGCTCCGTGTTCCGCTGGTACAAGGAAGTCAAACCCGGGGCGGCAGAGCTTGGGGACAGCGGCCTCGCGTCGTCGTCTCACTCTTTGCCGTCTTCAACTTGGACCGAGACCGGTGTCGAAGAGCGTGTCTACACCCCGAGCAATGCTGACATAGGGCTGCGGCTCAAGCTTCACTGCACTCCGGGCAATGGACAGCGCTTCGGGCCAAGCCGCGAGCTGGAAAGCGTGTGTCCGGTGGAGGCCGGGCCTGGCACCTGCACTTTTGACCATCGACATCTGTACACCAAGAAGGTGACAGAGAACTCCTTCATCCGTACTGTCTCTTACAACCTCCTGGCAGACACGTACGCCCAGACTGAGTTCTCTCGGACAGTCCTGTACCCGTACTGTGCCCCCTACGCCCTGGAGCTTGACTACCGCCAGAACCTTATCCAGAAGGAGCTCACGGGCTACAACGCAGACCTCATCTGTTTGCAGGAGGTGGATCGCGCAGTGTTCACGGACAGCTTGGTACCCGCTCTGGAGGCCTTCGGGCTGGAGGGCGTGTTTCGAATCAAACAGCATGAAGGCCTAGCCACTTTCTACCGGAAGTCAAAATTCAGCCTTCTTAGCCAACACGACATTTCTTTTCAAGAAGCCCTGCAGTCGGACCCACTGCACAAAGAACTACTAGAGAAACTGGCTCTGAACCCTCTAGCGCAGGAGAAAGTACTCCAGAGATCGTCTGTCCTTCAGGTCAAGTAGCTCTGCCTGTTTTCTTCATACTCACCCATGTTTAGGGGTCTTAGGAGTGGAGGGATGGGATGGTGTTAGTACTTATCATTGAAAACTATCTAGATTGCATTTCTTTAAAGTATGTTGGCCCTAGTGTCTTATACAGTGTTCATTTATCCAGAATAAATTAAGCACCCCTAGTTAGTATGCCTAACCCTGCAGGTTGTCTTGAACAAGATGAATGGAGACGTTCTTAGTGCTTAAAAAAATAGGTAGAGGCCAGGTGGTGGTAGCGCCCGCCTTTAATCCCAGCACTTGGAAGAGACAGGCTCTAAAGCTACACTGAGAAACCATGTCTTGAAAAAACAAACAAAACCCCAAAAGATCCAGATAGATACACATGAAATTCAGTAATGATAGTAACTTGCCAAGCACTGTTTTAGAGCACTTTAAAGCAGTTACAAGTATAAGTGCCTCTTGTTTTAAGACCTGTTTCATATTTATTGCCTAGATTGTAAAAAAAAAAAAATCATTGGCTTTTTAGTCTGTTTTTACAGATTATTGTTTCATAAATGAGAAAATGTTCAAATGCTGTTACTCTAGTTCATAGAAGTATGAGCCAGGATTCTTAGCCAGTTGACGAGGCTAGAATTATTGTTCAGGGTGTGAACTGCTTCTTAGCTTAAAACTGTCTTTGTTATTTTTTTGCTTGTTTTTGGGTTTTGTTGATTTTTGAGACAGGGTCTCACTGTGTAGCTCTGAATGTCCTGGAACTAACTGCATATGTAGACCAGGCTGGCCTTGAATTAACTGAGATTCACCTTCCTTTGCTTCTTAAGTGCTGGGATCTAATTGGTGTGCCGTTACACTGGATCTTGTCTTTGTTTTATTTTATTTGCATCGGTATTTGCCTGCATGTATGTCTGTGTGTGAAGGGTGTCAGATCTTGGAGTTACAGTTGTGAGCTGCCATGTGGGTGCTGGGAATTGAACCCGGGTTCTCTGGAAGAGCAGCCAGTGCTCTTAACCGATGAGCCATCTCTCCAGCTCCTTGCCTTTTCTTTAAAAAATCTGCCTGACTCCAAGGGCATGTGCCTTCACACTTAAAAACAGTATCCAGTCCTAATTTTGTCAACTAAATGTATTTTTTCATAATGGTTCTATATATTGGTTACTAAAATGTTACATTTACTCATGTTAACATACCTTAAAACTTGCAATATCAGATTTTAAAAGTATCTTAGTTTTCAAGGGACTATGAAATAAAATAGCTCAGCCTACAGTTTTTTCTTTTAAAAAAGATTTATTATACAGTGCTCTGTCTGCATGTATCCCTGCAGGCCAGAAGAGGGCACCGGATCTCATTATAGATGGTGTGAACCACCATGTGGTTGCTGGGAATTAAACTCAGCACCTCTGGAAAAACAGCCAGTGCTCTTAACCTCTGAGCCATCTCTCCAGCCCACCTACAGTCTTAAGTGCAAATTATTTTGAAGGGTGGGGTGTTGTGGCACCTGCCCATAATCCCAGCACTTTGGAGGAAAAGGCTGGTGGATTTCTGTGATTTTCAAGGCCAATCTAGTTTACATAAAGTTCCAGGACAGCCAGAACTATATAATGAGAAACTGTCTCAAGCAACAAAAAGTTTTCTCAGATTGGCAGACCAACTGAACTCTTGGTGTTTCCTATTGTAGATTTCAGTTCTTCAATCTACAAAGGACTCTTCTAAAAAGATATGTGTTGCTAATACCCATCTCTACTGGCACCCAAAAGGTAGGTTTTATAAGTGACTTAATGTTGTTAAAGCTGTTTCACACACACACACACACACACACACACACACACACACACACACACCTTGCTTTTAGTTGATTTTTTTTTTTTTGATAGAGCTTTGAAATGTATGTTGGCCTAGAACTTGAAATCCTCCTACCTCAGCCTTCTCACAGCTGACATTACAGGTGTGTACCACTACCCCAGCCCTATACAAACATTTATCTTGAATGTCACTCAGATGCTGTAGGTGATTATTTATTCCATCAAGCCTGATGCCCTGAGTTCAATCCCAGGGACCCATATGGTAGAGAGAGAGACTAATTCAATGTAAATTGCCCTCTGACCTCCACACAAATTCCAAGGCACATCACATCCCACTTGTCACATACTCAATGTAAAAATGTATGTGTGTGTGTAAATGCACATACATATACATGTTGAATGTTACTCAGGTACCATAATTTGTGAGGGGTCCCCCCTCCTTAGAGAGGGCTTTAAAAAGTACTTACAGTAATTTTGTTTGTTTGTAGGTGGATACATTCGTCTCATTCAAATGGCAGTAGCCTTGGTTCACATTAGACATGTTTCATGTAATCTGTATCCTGGCATACCTGTTATATTTTGTGGAGACTTTAATAGTACACCGTCAACAGGAATGTATCATTTTGTCATCAATGGCAACATTACTGAGGATCATGAAGACTGGGCTTCCAATGGGGAAGAGGAAAGATGCAACATGTCTCTCACACACCTTTTCAAACTGAAAAGTGCTTGTGGTGAACCTGCTTACACAAATTATGTTGGCGGCTTTCACGGATGTCTAGATTACATTTTCATTGACTTAAATGCTTTAGAAGTTGAACAAGTGATTCCGTTACCTAGTCATGAAGAAGTTACCACCCACCAGGCCTTACCTAGTGTTTCTCATCCTTCCGATCACATAGCACTGGTATGCGATTTAAAATGGAAATAGATTTTGCTTCATTTGTCTGAAAGGGAAGCTAGTTACTTTTCAGAAAATTTAATATGAATCAGAGCTTATATATAAAAATCTTCAAAGAGGAAATCTAGACACTAAACTTTAGTATGGTCATTCCCTACTAGTTCCAGATGGCTTTGTTACAGAACCAATTCATAATGTTTGCATCATATAATATCTTTATCCTCTTTTTAATTTCCTACATTTGGGGAAAAACATATTTATGACTAGCGAAGAAAAAAATGAATTATTGTGTACATTTTATAAGTTTTTTTAAGCTGGTAATTAAGATTTTTAAGTACTATTTGAATAATCTCATAACTTTTCTTTCATAATACATTTTACATTGAATTATGTTCATATAACTGAGGGAGGAGGGGCCATGCAGGTAAAAAGTGAAAGACTTCAGAGAGACATGGAATAATACATTAGTCTATCACTACCTCAATTTGTTTAGAATTTATTATAATTTTAGAGCTTTAACAAAAGATTAAAATATGCCATTACCAATTTTTATAGCTTCTTTATTTTTCAGTTGGCTAGGTATTTTCCTTCTCTTTATTTCTAGCATTTTTTTTTTAGTGTACAAATGATGGCACAAATGCACATAATTTGTGTTCTCATTTGCACTTCAGCCCATTTTAATAGTAAGATGTAAGCACAATGGAGTATTCAAAGGGAGCAGCAACATAACTTGATTCTCTTGTCTTCACTCTTACTATTGAAAAATATTTATAAACATACAGGGTACATGACCATATGATATGAAAGAACAGAGCACAATTATTTTATGAGAAACTTCTGATAGGGGCTTCAAGTTATACTTGAACCATTGAGCATTTCTATGCTGGAAGTGTTTTCAAAATTGTAGTTTTTATAAGTAGGAAGAAGGGAGCCAGGCATGGTGCTTTATAGTTGCAATCCTAGCACTCAGGAGTCTGTCAGGTTGCTTTGAGTTCAATACTAATCTGGATTACACAGTTCAAGGCCAGTTGGGGCTACATAAATATAAAAAAGGGGGACAGTGGGCTTTTGCCAATATCTGAAATAAACTTTTTTATAGACTTAAGCATTATAGTTTGAGTAACAGAAGAGTGCCACATAATTTATATATAAAATTTAATGAAACCAAACATTTGAAGAGGAGAAATTGCAAGTTGTATAGATTAGTATCTAGTTTAGATAACTTAAGTTTTACTAAATTTGTTGTCACCATAGCTAACTGGTAATGCTTTAGCTATTGCTTTTGTTATTCAGAATTAACTGTAGCGTAGCTCATTATTTCTGCAGTTAATTTCTGGCTTAGATAGTAAAGGCCTCTCACCTCAAAAAGAGGTATGATTTTCGAGTCTTGAAGCCCCTATTTCAAAAATTTTCATTTCTAACCCAATACTGTAAGAACTTTCCTCTTTTGAAAAATGTGTCTTTTCACCCATATTCTTCTAATGTAGTCTGTGTTTTCATATTCTATCAGGTACCCTGAAGAACATTTTATCTGCACTAAAGGGTGAACCTCTTTACTCAAATTATTTAAAGGAAAATAATCATTAAGGTGGCAGTTTCTTGGGATCTTGTTTAAAAAAAAAAAATAGCTCATAAAAAATTGATGCTACCAAATTGTGCCTTCCTAAATATGGTAGTGGGTTATTTTGTTTGTTTCTCTTCCTGAGGATCAAATTCAGGGCCACTGAGTTACATTCCCAGCCATATATATATACTTTTTTTTAAAAGAGCATTTCAATGGCAGTTTATATAGTCAGTAGTAGTTCTTTTGCAAAACCAAAAAATTTTCAGGATTATTTCTGTGTTGCTGGGGAATGAACCCAGAAGTACTACCAAACTATATCAGCAACACTTTTCAAAATTTAGGTTTGTTTTGCTTTCAAATAAGCATATTGACAAATTTTTACACTGACTCTTAAGGAGCTAATAGTATTACTCAGCAAGAAGTCAACATTTTGAAAGAAAAATGTTTATAATGTGAGATTATTCATACCCACACACAAAAAAAATCATCAAGATCCTATATTAATCTTATGGTGGGCTTGAACTGTGGTCAGAGAAACTAGGATTTACCAAACATCCCAAGCCCTTAAATTTGATATTTGTGAATTAAATGATATAGTCAGGTTATATACAGATATTTTAGGACATTCAGATAATGAAGTATAAAGATTTGACTAAAAGTCAAATCTCCAGTAATCAGATGTTAGGATGACTGGAGTACAAAGATAGGCAACACTATAAAAGTTCTATAAATATCTTACCAAAATTTATTTGTACTTACAAGTTAGTACAAGGTATTAATTAGAAGTGTCTAAAACTATCTTTGTGATTGAATTTTTATATTACTTTTGGAATTTTTTAGTACATTTAATTTTAATATGAGAAATCTAGCAACTTTGTAGTAAACCACATTTTATGTCCCAAGTTCTTGCTGAAGGAAAAGTGAGTATTTTAGAGAATGTTATTCTGTTAAAACCAACTCTTACACAGTTGTCCCCATAAGAAATACTAACAGTTTGTAATTCATTAGCAAGAAGAGCATTTCTGGCTACAGTATTCTGGCTTTATTTACTTGGTATGTTTTTCAGGTTCATCTGTGTTACAGTCTCTACCAATACTTCATCTTCTTTTACAGCCAAATATTTTCTACTGCATGGATAATACATCTTGCTTATCTGAACATTTGGTGGGGTTGGGGAACCAAGACAGCCAGGCTCTTATTCCCATTTTAAACGGTCATCCTAGTTACTATGAAGTAATACTCTGACACATTTTTAGCTTTTGAAATTCTTGCAGTCATAACATGCTTTATTCTAAAAGTTAACCAAACCTCTTTTTCCAGAGCCTACCTTCAGCAACTGCTACTTATTTTTATGAGTTTGTTCCAAGTGAAAAAGGTCTTACTGCTTCCTTTGAAGAAAACTGTAAATATCAAAGTTCAAAAATATCACAACCTTGAATGTAAACAAAAAAATTATGGAAAAACCTAAGATGTTCACAACAAAAGGCCATTTTTTACACTTCATCAATTTCAGAGAACTTACTTTTAAATGGGAACGCTAAATCCAGGTTAGTAGATAGCAAGAATGAATACTCATTACTGAGAAATGAGATGATTATAATTGAGTATAATAATTAAATATATAATAAAAAGTTAAAGCTATTTGCATTTTTTTAAAATCCCTAAATTCAAGGTAACCTTTAAACTGTAAGCCAGTAAATTAAGTTGACATTTACCCTGTTAATAGGGGGTGGTGAAATATTACTTGACTGCCTTTAGTGTATTAACATACAGATGCTAAAATTTATGTAAGAATTACAATTTCAAACATTAAACTTAATCAGTTGAATTGGCTGGTACCAGCCTCTATATAACTAATAATGAATGGCATTTGAAACATTAAACTTGAGCCTGAAGAGACCACTGTGGTTAAGAGTGCTCACTTTTCCAGAGGACCTGGGGTTCATTTCACAGCACCCACATGGTGACTTACAACCTATTGTAACTCCAGTTCCAGGAATCCAACATCTCTGTTGGCATCTCTGGGTACCAGGCATACACATGGTACAAAGATACATGAGAGGCAAAATACCCATACCCATAAATTAAACTTTAAAAAGTTTAAAAGCTAGCAACAAAAACCATTAAACCTGTTAAGCTGGCTTAATATTACTTTCATCTATCTGCCATTTGGATTCATTCTGATAGGAACCTTTGTTGATTTGTCAAAACCCAAGTTCTGTAATGTTTTGTTGTTTTTGTTGTAGACAGGGTTTCCTTGTGTAACCCTGGCTGTCCTGGAACTCACTCTGTTTTAGACCAGGCTGGCCTTTAACTGCCTGCTTCTGCTTCTGGAGTGCTAGGATTAAACTGGTGTTTTTATTGTTGAGAGCTGTTGTTGGTATTTGAGTGTCAGACTGACACCTAAAAGAAACCTTGTACTTATAAGTAGTAATCCTGTTTGCCCTGGCAACCTTTTACCTACTCTTGTCTTCATGAAATGTCTGTTTTGGACTTTCATAAATGCAAAGAAATCTGTTCTTTGTAACTGGTGTCTTTCACTTAGGCTGTTTAGGTACTTCCATGTTGTAGCATCAATACCGTTTTTTTGTTTTGTTTTGTTTTGTTTTTTTAATGAATTTTCCATTGTTATACTACATTTACAAACTGATGGCCATTTATATTGCTTCCACAGATAATGTTGCTATAAACATTTGTGTATAAGATTTGTGTGGGTATTTTCTCTTGAGTATTCCTCTAACACAGGAGCATTGTTGGGTCATACGGAAAATATATTTACCTTTTGGGAAATTGTTAGAGTATTACTCAAAGTGGGTACACAATCTCCAGAAATACATGAAGGCTCTGATTTCTGCACATCCTCAACACTTAATAGTTTTATTCTTTGATAACAGGGATTCTAGTATGAAGTGGTACTGGTTTTGCCTTTTAATTTGCATTCCTCTAGAGATCATCTTCCCTACTAGTAAGACTCCTAATGGATTCCTAAAACAGTATCACAGCCTATATCAATTTTTTTGTGTGTACATACTTATGATAAAAGTTTAACTGATAAATTAAGCACAATGAACTAACAAATAGAAAAATTTACATACTATAAAATTTAAAACCTAATTCTTTTGAGAATTTCCATTTTTTAAAAACAAGGTTGAACACTAAGACAAATTATGGAAAGCAAAGTGTAGATGAGAGAAAACTACTGTACATCCCTATTTGAATGGTTCTAAGTCTGGACAAAACAAAAAACCCACTGTAACTAAAGCCAGAATAGTTCCTAAGAGTTAGTTCTTAAGTGCTCAAGAAAACTGAACACATACCATTCATTGGCAAAATAGGAACTGTCAAGGCAAAAGGGAGCCTAGATCCATTTCTACTGTAATAATGACCTAGAAGGCATCACTACCACAGATGCTTTACTAATTTTTTTCTATCTGAATCTTGGTATTACTGTACACCAAATCCAATTTAGGCACCTAAATATAAGTTTATAACTGGAAATAATTATATTGTTATTAATATATTTGCCTAAATGTAACAAAAAACAAACTAAAGAATCTTTAAGTGGCTTAGTTTTAAGAACTACTATGGTGCTAACTTACAATTCCTACCCCTGAACTTAAGTTTCATATTGTCTATACACCATAAAAAACATACTGTAGTGTATTTTAGTTTTCTCCAACAAGAAATAAGACCTCTCTTATTTGAAAACAGAGAATTCACCTGCTAGGCTAAGGAAGTTTCAATCACATCAAATGAAACTGACTAAATGAACATACTTTATCCCAGTGGCCTATTTCAGATATTGATAAACTGCTTAGCTTCAATTTATTTAGCTAAATCCGGTTTTTTTATCAACCATTTAAAAATTCACATGTGGAATTAGATTTTTGAAGCCAGGTATAGGGGCACACACCTTTAATACCAGCACTGGGGAGGCAGAACCAGGTGAATCTCTTGAGTTTGAGACCAGCCTGGTCTACAAAACAAGTTCCAGAACAGGCAGGATTGTTACAGAAATCTGTCTCAAAACACAGCAAAAATTTTTGATCCATGAGTTTATATAAACCTCTAAGCTATTAAGGATCGTTAAAAAAAATCATAAGAGGCTTATAATGCATGAGACATTAACATATATACAAAAATCTATTCTAATTAGTATAGTTATGGCATGTACCACTGTTGCTGCCTTAACAAGTAAGTTTCATACAGCTTTGTCTTGACATTGTGAACCACCAAGTTATGAAGTGCTTGTAGCCTATTCTCATTTAGCGATCTATTCCATCGAATGTTAGCTGCCAAATGTATGCATACCCATTTGTTACTTTTTTTTGAGAAAGGTCTGTTTCCTAGGCTGGCCTCAAACTCACTAAGTAAACATTGACAATTTCTGACAAGCCTGACACTTCCATGGGACATGGTACTAGGGATCAAACTTGGGACTCTGTGCATACAAGGCAAGCACTCCAACTGAGCTTGATCACTAACCCCTTCATACCCTGCTTCTGGAGTTCAACTTCACACTCGATCTGTCATTTGAACTTTATAACTTTAACTGGTATTCTACTAGAAAAAGTAAAATTCTTTATACTGCACCTTACTTTGACATTCTTGATAAACTATGGTTAAGTTTACTGCCAGCTTAAACCATTAGTAAACTCACTGAGATTTGTATTATTGGCCATACCATGTAAAATATGCAAATCAACTTTGCTATGTAAGGAAATCAGTTTTAAACACTGCAAAGACTCGAACACAATTTTGAATCATTTTATTAGGAATAATTTCAAATGGGTTACGAAGAAAACTTATTTGCTGAATTTAATGAATTTTCAAAAAATTCTTAATGAAGATATGTTCATCAATAAACAGTAAAATATCAGCAGAACTATCATATACTGGGCAAAGAGTCAGGCTGATTCCAAAAGCAACATGCAACATAAAAAAGGTAACAATATAAAGGAAGACAATCTGCTGAGTATTAAAAGTTATTTCAATGTGAACTCTTTGCAACCAGCACAGAATTAGCTATCAAATCCAAACCACATTGACGAGGTAAGTTTGGCTGGTGGAAGCCTGGGGTCAATAATGTGAGGGGGTGGTGGTGGTGAATCCTCAGTACAAGAAAATTGAATAGTGTTCCCCTGGCTGGTCCAAGCAGTATTAGAAAAATCTTTTTTGGCAAGGGGTAGAAATAAATACAAATGGAATGCTACATTTTTAAATCAGCAGACTGTTCTAGGAATGATAAAGGTATCAATAAAGTATCAAGGGAATAACTTTATAACATTATTGGTGTGGGCTCAAAAAACACTCAAAACAGATTTGTTTAAAGGTGTCACAAAAGCTAAATGTCCAGGCTTTTAGGCTTAAGGGAAGTATAACAGTGGATACTTTTTTTTTCCCCACGGAGAATTTCTCTTACACCCAAGCATATTGCTAAATAGCAACGTTGTGCTTGGTAAACAATAATTGGCAACAAATTAAGTTTTAAATGCTGTAATATTCTGCCCAAACCTGTCTCAGATATCCTTTAATAACCAAGATGCAAACTAATTTTGTTGTAACAAGTCTAGACCAATTCTATCAAACATGTCCTTGGTTAGATATCCCAGTTCATTTAGCGTTTTGAAAGTTCATTTGACAGCCAATCGAGTCCCTCATACAGACCAGTTCCTTGGGTAGCACAAGTGGCTTGAACATACCACTGTGAAGAAAGGACAAGAAAATACTTGATTAACAAGATAATACACACTGCCATTTTAAATAGAAAATATTAAATCCCTGCCAATAAATGCCCAAGGGCACTACTGAGTAAGTAATTATGAGTATACAAAAGTGGAAACTATAAAATCCCAGTAATAAACATTAAGAAAATAAGTAATCTACTATCTACTTGCATCCCACACACAGGAATTTAATGCTTTCAGTAACTAACTACAAAGGTCACTCAAAAGTATCCTTTGGAATTTCCTCACTCTATCCTTTTAAAAATCTGAAGAGTAATGGGAAAGTCTCTAACAAATTATTTAACTGGTCCTTAAGATCCTCTCATTATACCCCATAAACTAAGTAAAACACATGTGCAGATTTTTTTAAACTTTTCTTTTGTAGTCCTAGAGACCATACCCAGGACCTCAATGTCCTAGGCAAGTCCTCTGCCATTAAACCACATTCCCTGTCTAAAAGGATTACGTTTCTGGAATATGTTTGCTGATATTCTAAGAACTTTAATTTTTCACGTAATTTTACTTTAAGAAAAATAGTGTTAGCATCTTTGATCTCACATATTCCAAAAAGTTTCACCTTTTAAACAGTAAAAATCCTTAATTGCTTGTAATGAAACACCATAAAATCTAAATAATAAGAGACCATGTCAGCCGGGCATTGGTGGCTCACGCCTTTAATCCCAGCACTCCGGAGGCAGAGGCAGGGGGATTCTCTGTGAGTTCGAGGCCAGCCTGGTCTCCAGAGTGAGTGCCAGGATAGGCTCCAAAGCTACACAGAGAAACCCTGTCTCGAAAAACCAAAAAAAGAGAGAGAGAGAGAGAGAGAGAGAGAGAGAGAGACCATGTCTCAAAGAAACAAACAAAAAAACCCCAAAAAACACCTAGAAAACAACTCACAAATGGACAGCTTATTCATTTTAAACTGACTAGTCTTATTTCACCTTAGAAGAAAAAAAAAATGGGGCTGGAGAGATGGCTCAGTGGTTAAGAGCACTTGACTGCTCTTCTACAGGACCAGGGTTCAATTCCCACCAACCACATGGTGGCTCACAACCATCTGTAATGGGATCAGATTCCTTCTGGTGTGCATGGATACAGAGCACTCATACACATAAAACACATGAATAAATAAATCTTAAAAGAAAAGACTTAATGTTGCAAAGTCATAGTGGTTTACCATGTTGCCAATTATCTGAATACCAAATATCCTAGTCTTGCATTTTTTATAGTGTATCTTTAATTCATGTGGGACATCACCACAGTCTGCTCGTTGTTGACAAGTTAATAAAAAGCTGCTGTAAAGTATGGGGCACTATTGGTTTTTCACAGTATCTTTTGTTTTTTGAAGACATGGTCTCATGACTGTGATACAATCTGTGGTACAATTTCTATGTGTATGATCACTAATAAGCACAGTATTTCTTGTAATTTTGTATTCAAAAATGTCAGTAGAAGTTCCTCCATAAGCTTTTGAAGTTAATAAACAAAGAGCACTAAACAATATGATTTAACATACAGCTGCTAAATCCTGGACCTTTTATCAACAGCACAAAATGTAGGGCTTGGTACAATTGCACACACCTGCAATTCTAGCACTAGGGAAAAAAAGGCAGGAAAATGTCCCTAAGTTCAAGGCCAATATAGACTACACACTGAGAAGCACCTTAAAAAAAAGCAAAAAAAAAAAGCAAGCCAAGTATAAAAAATTGTTGTTCAACTACAGATGCTGCTCAATGTTAGGGTGACTGCCCTCACACATGATAGAAACACTCTGGGTTGAAACCCCAACACCACAAGAAACAGTAAAAATAAAACATTTGTATTAAATAAAAATAGCTGGAGAGCTATTTGAATGATACAAAATTAAGAATGTTTGTAATCTCAAAACATTCAACTCAGTACTATTAATGTATCAATACAGAAAATAGTTAATTATTAAATAAACAAATCTGAGAGACTATCAATATTTTTTAAAAACT